TATGTGTTGGTCAAAACTCATTAAGCTATGTACTTAAAGCAGCTCCATTTTACTGCATGTAAATTACTTCTCTATGACATTAATTTAAAAGGAAAATAGAACATTATGTAATCTGTGATGCCTTTTCTAAATACAACCAGAAGTTTATCATTCTTGTGTTAAGGCTAGCATTAAAAGTATCAGTCTATCAAACCCTAAAATCAGTATTATTTTATTTTATATATAATATATGTAGTCTTTGAGAAAGCAAAGACATGATCTAAGGTGCAAAAGAATGTAAGAATGCAAAGGTAAGACATAACTGAGAGACATTTAAAACATTTTTTTCAGCTTTTTAACTCATTCACTTAGTCTTAACATTTATTGAGCTCTGATCTACAAGGAGCTCTAGGGCAGAGAGACTTGTACATAAAACAACTACAACCAGCCAAAACCAAAACATCAACATAAGCATAGATTATGTGTGAGGTGAAAATGCCACACTGAATTAGAGTGAGAAAAGAATTCAGGAAGAGTTCTGAAGGAGAGCTAAGAGTTGATTTTATTTAAGGAATCTAGGTAGCAAATGAATTGGAAGCACATTCTGCACACTGGAATGAAGGGGGAAACAGCATGATTTGGATAACTGTAATAGCTGAGTTAATTCAGAGAATAAAGTCTGGATCAATAGATGGAAAGCAAACAAAGACTGAAAAGGATTATAAAGAACAAAGATTCTAAATGCATCAATACCACAAACATAAGGCATTTAAACAGACTACCCTATTTCTACTTCTGAGTATACCTTTTGGTTTTACAATAAATTTAAGAGATAGAAAATTAATTTTTAAAAAACTTTTAAACTGTAGCTCAGTTGATTGGAACATCATTCCATACACCAAAAGGTCTTGTTTCATTCTCACCGCCCCTTCCTCCCTCTCAAAAAAAAAAATAAAATCAATAAATATATCCTAAACAAAGATTCAAAACAAAACAAGTTATTTCTGGATTTCCTAAAAAACTGAGTTCCTTTATGACTTACAGGAAATAAAACTGCACAAATGTTTCATGTACTTTTCTGTAAGTATGATATCTCACACAATTAAAATAAAGGGAAGGGGAGATGTTAAAATCATCACACCATTGGAAAAAATATTTATTCTCATTCATCTATAATAGAATAAGAGCTTTCTATTTATTGGAACAAAAAAAAAAAAAAAAGAAAAAAAGCACCTATTCTTTGGTTCCCTTTCCTGAATCAATATGGAGGAGAGGTGCTGAAAAAAAACAGAGAATCAGAGATCAGCCTATATACATCCTTTTGGGAGTGCTGTTCAACCCTTGTGATTAAATTAATATGTTCATTTGTATGAAGTCCTACCCATACTTGTTTTAACATTTTTTCATTCATTTAGTTATGATTTATCAAGATACTAAACAACATAAAATTGGGAATTATGATTTATTTCTTCAAGGAAAGAAAACAAAGCCAAGAATCTGACAAAAGCTATGAAATAAACACAAGTATTTCTCTCGCAGACTTGTTTTTCAATAGGTCAACACCAGAGGTCGCCAAACTTCAGTAATCCAGCTGTATGCAGCTTTTAAAACTTAACCCTTAACCTAGGGTTCCTGGATGAGCTTCAGAAAGCTCAAGGATCACCTCATGTCATATGCAAAATTCAGGCATGCATCATTTTTTAGGAGGAGAATCCATGCTATGAATAGATTTTCAAAGTGGTCCATGATTGAAAAGCTGTTAAAAGTTGCTTTCTCTAGTCACTAATAAACATAGAAAAATTTAAATGATATAAAAATGAAGCAATCAAATATTTTGTTTCTATGACATATGATATACACTGAGTGGCCAGATATTATAATCTTTGAACGTATAATAATCTGGCCACTCAGTGTATATCTTATATAATAAAAGAATAACATGCAAATTGTCCCCTCAACCAGGAGTTCGACCAGCAGGCAGGTTGGCCAACTGCCCATGTCCCCTCCCCCTGGCCAGGCTGGCTGTACCCCACCCATGCATGAATTCACGCACTGGGTCACTAATACACACACACACACACACACACACACACACACACACACACACACTGAGTGGCCAAATTATTATGCGTTCAGAGATCATAACAATCTGGCCACTCAGTATATATTACAAGTAAAAATTAGTACCATGATGTGTAATGGTGTGTACATACAGATTCTGGGGAGTGAAAAGATAGGAAAAAGTTTAATGTGTTGTCCTTGCAATTTGTTAATAACACAAGAGCTCTATGAGAGCAGAAGAAATGTCACCAGGTAACATATAATTAAATTGCAAACGCCTGTATAACGTCATTGATCTATCAAAAAACTTAGGAAAAAGTATTTTATACTTATTAAACTCTTATTTAATTAATATATTTAATCTCTCTGAGACTATTGGATAATAAAAATGTTAAGCTAGAAAAGGAGAGTATAGGCACAGGTGCTGAACAAACCATAATATAACTGAAAAATCTAAGTGTTTGCTAAAAATTAGGGTGAAAATAAGGTTGAGTTGTACTTAAAAGCAAAGATAATCTTGACTATTTTAGATGAAACACAAAGATATGTCAAGCTGATTTGTACTGGGGTTGGCAAAAGTAGGTTTATAGTTATTTGTATTATTATCTATTTATAACTATAAACCTATTTTTGTCAACCCCTGTATATTCATGACAATAAGACTTAGGGACTGTTTCCTTTTGTTTTTGGTCACTTTTAAAAAACACTAACATTTAAGAAATATTAATGGGTTCTGGATAATCATTTACAACCATTTTAATGATAGTGAACACTAACTTTAATCTTAATTAAATGATACAGTCCACAAAAAGAACTCCATTATACTAATTAGCACACTGTCTTACAAAAAAAAATTGTACTTAGTTACTATTTTTTAATTTCATCAATAAAAAAATCTGTGGAAATTTATTTTCTCTCATTATAGCTCTCTATGATTTGCATTTTAGCCCCAATGCCTGAAATATTTTATCTAGCCCTTTAAAGAAAAAGTTTGCCAACCCTTGCATTAGAATATTAATATGGATAATGAGGAATAAGGAAACAAAAAGATCAAAATATTTGAATTTCGATTTGAGTATAATATGGGAATCCAGAAGGAACTATTGAACAAAGAGGTAGTTATCCAAAAAAAGAGTGCAAATATTTTAGTGATCTCAGGTACAAATTACAAGAAATTACATGGACAGCAAAGAATATTCTTGAATACACACTGATCTTTTCAACCACACTTGCATAAAATGATATCTAACAAAATCACCTTATCCAAAGTAATGTTTTTATAGAATGAAGTACAAGGATTTTTTTAAAAATATGTTTTATTGATTTTCACAGAAAGGAAGGTAGAGGGATAGATAGTTCCAAACATCGATGAGAGAGAGATATCGATCAGCTGCCTCCCCCCTCCCTCCCCCCCCTCCTACCCCCGGCTGGGGATGTGCCTGCAACCAAGGCACAAGCCTTTGAACCTGGGACCCTTCAGTCCACAGGCCGACGCTCTATCCACTGAGCCAAACCGGTTTCGGCAAGGATTTCAAAGTAATTTAATCACCATCCTGTGTAAAACTGGTAAAAGCTTCCAAGGAGTTGTAACTCAATACAATAAAACTGAATTCAAGATGTGCAGACACAGAAAGTAGCCATCAGATGACTAGAAGAGTTTGAGAAAACACTGAAAAACCATCTGTTAGGAAAGTATCTAAGAAGGTTCTGGCATTGGATGGAGTACTGGACTATGACCTCTAAGGAGATTTTCAATTTTTCACTTCTAAGAAACATTTAGAAAATTCTATATAATAAAAGCCTAATATGCTAAGAGTCCAATCTTCCATTCAACCAAAGTATAATATGCTAATGATATGCTAAGGCTGCTAAACCACTTGCTATGATGTGCACTGAGCACCAGGAGGTAGACAGTTGCTATGACTTACACTGACTACCAGGGGGCAGACGCTCCAACCAGTAAGTTAACTTGCTGCTGGGGTCTGGCTAATCAGGAGTGAGGGAGACAGGCCAGACATGCCCTGGAGCCCTCCCATGAACTTCCCCTAACTGGTTAACCTCCCCGGCCCTGATCGTGCACCAGTAGAGGGCCCTAGCCATCCAGGATCACTCAGGGGATGTTGGAGAGCCAGTTTTGGCCTGATCTTATAGGCCAGGCTGAGGGACCCTGTGGCACATGAATTCATGCACAGGGCCTCTAGTCAATAATAAAGTCCAAAAGACAACAGGAGTTGCTGGTTTTGTCAAACTGTAACCTTAGAATGAACCAATGAAGTAATCTCAATACATATGTTTTAGAATGTTTAAAAAGAGGGGTTGGAAATTCTTTAAAAGCTCAAATATTAAAAGCTTTTTAAAATTACATTTAAAAACAATTATAATCTCACTCCTACTGTTCTTAAGATAAACATTAATTCCAAGTTATAATATTTTTAATCTAGTATTGTTAATAAAAGTGCTGATAGACATAATAAAATTATATTAAACCTATGATCAAAATTCTGCTTATATCTGTGTACTCATACATGTAGATATTCAGTCTTCCACTTTATGAATATTTATATACTGAACAGATAAAAGCATCTCCTATGTAGTTAGCAAAGTACCAGGAAGAGAGAGTATTTGGTTAGAAAAAACAGACAGAGCTTCTATTTTTATTCACTTTATATACATTTAGTCATCTTCTAGTTTTTAAGTACTTTAAATAACAGATTTATCCCTTCTATGCATCAGATATCCAAAATGGCTTTTCCAGGATCATACAACTGAAGAATAACTCAGTTAGAGTTCAAAAGGCTGTGGTCTTATACTTCCTTGATAGTAGAACTTGCTATGTGATCTTTAATCACATTCTCCATTTTTTAAAGTGTTGTATGTGTGTCTGTGTGTGTGTTTTATGCATTATTAGAATACAGTAGCAAAATTCCATCCAATTCAAAATTTCAATTCAACCTCCTTACCTTGATTATTTCCACCAATTGATCCACACCACTGTCCCCTGGAAATATTGGTTGTCCTAGCAACAGTTCAGCCAGCACACAGCCTGCAGACCATACATCTGAAAAGAAAAACAAAACAAAGGCTTATTAATACTGTGTAGCTTTAAGGTGAGCTGAAAAATATTTGTATAAATATTCTAATTTTACTTTAATGAGAAAAAAATATCACAAGCAAAAGTCTGTACAACTAGAACAAAGGAAAAAAGTCATCAAACTATTCTTTTTCTTTCTTTTTCATAAATATTATTTTTAAAGTATTACATGTAGTAGTACATATATCTCTTCCCCCGCCCCACCCCAGCCTTCCCCAAGCCTCCCTAACCCTGTTGCATGCTCTCATCCCAGCCCCTACTAGTGTCTTGTGTTCATTTATTGTGCTTATATGCATGCATACAAGTCCTTTGGTTGATCTCTTTCCTCCCTTCCCCAATACTTGCTTTCCCACTGTAATTTGATAGTCTGTTCAGTGCTATACTGCCTCTGTATCTATCTTTCTGTTTATCAGGTTATAATGTTATTTATTTTCCATAAATGAGTGAGATCATGTAGTTTTCTTTCATTGTCTGGCTTATTTCACTTAACATAAGGCTCTCCAGGTCCATCCATGCTACTGCAAATGGTAAGAATTCCTTCTGTTTCATAGTAGCGTAGTATTCCATTGTGTAGGTTTACTAGTTTTCTAATCCACTCATTTGCTGAAGGGCATTTAGGCTATTTCCAAACCTTAGCTATGGTGTATTGTGCTGCTATAAACATAGGGGTGCATATATCCTTTCTGATTAGTGTTTCTAATTTCTTGGGATATATTCCTAGAAGTGGGATGTCTGAGTCAAATGGGTGATTCCATTTTTAATTTATTGCGGAAACTCCATACTATTTTCCATAGTGGCTGCACCAGTCTGCATTCCCACCAGCAGTAAAGGAGGGTTCCTTTTTCTCTGCATTCTTGCCAGCACTTGTCATTTGTTGATTTGTAGTTGATAGCCATTCTGACATGTGTGAGATGGTACCGCATTGTTGTCTTAATTTGCATCTCTCCAATAAGTAGTGACTTTGAGCATGTTTTCATTTGTCTCTTGGCCTTCCTTCTGTCTTCTTTCGAAAAGATTCTATTTAGTTCTGTTGCCCATTTTTTTTTTATTGGATCATTTATCTTCCTTTTATTAAGTTGAATAAGTTCCCTGTAGATGTTGGAGATTAAAGCTTTGTCAGCGATAACATTTGCAAATATGTTCTCCCATACAGTGGACTTTTTTGTTGTTTTGTTGATGGTTTCTTTTGCTTTGCAAAAGCTTTTTATTTTGATGTAGTCCCATTTGTTTATTTTCTTTTTAGTTTCCATTGCCCTAGGAGCGATATTGGTGAAGAAATTGCTTTGGCATATGTCTGAGATTTCTCTGCCTATGATTCCTCAAATATTTTTATGCTTTCCTATCTTATGTTGAAGTCCTGTATCCATATTGAGTTTTTGTGTATGGTGCAAGTTGGTGGTCTAGTTTCACTTTTTTGCATATATATGTCCAATTTTCCCAATACCATTTATTGAAGAGACTGCCTTGACTCCATTGTATGTTCATACTTCCTTTGTCAAATATTAATTGGGCATAGGGGATTGGGTCAATTTCTGGGTTCTCTGTTCTATACCATTGAGCTATATGTCTGTTCTTAAGCAAATATCAGGCTGTTTTGAAAACAATGACATGGTAATACAGCTTGAAATCGGGTATAGCAATCCCACCTACTTTGTTCTTCTTTCTCAGGATTGCTATTCAGCGTCTTTTTAAAAAATTTTTATTCCAGATGAATTTTTGGGAAGGTCTTTCTAGGTCTGTGAAATATGCCATTGGTATTTTAATGGGAGTGCATTGAATTTATAGATTGCTATGGGTAGTATGGACATTTTAATGATGTTGATTCTACCAATCCATGAACATGGTATGTTCTTCCATCTCTTTATGTCTTCCTCTATCTTTTTCAGTGTACTGTAGTTTTTTACGTATAAGTCTTTTACCTCCTTAGCTAAGTTTATTCCTAGGTATCATAATTTTTTTGGTGCAATGGTAAATTTGGATTGCTTTTTGTCTCTCTTTTTGTAAGTTCACTATTGGTGTATAAAAATGCCATAATTTCATGGCATTAATTTTGATTCCTGCAATATTGCTGAATTCATTTATTAAGTATATTAATTTTTTGATGGAGTCTTTAGGGTTTTCTATGTACAATATTATGTCATCTGCAAATAAAGACAGCTTTACTTCTTCTTTTCCAATTTGGATGCCTTTTATTTCTTCTTCTTGTCTAATTGCAATGGCTAATACTTCCATTACTATGACAAACAGGAGTGGTGAGAGTAGGCATCCCTGTCTTGTTCCTGTTCTTAGGGAAAATGGTTTTAGTTTTTGCCCATTGAGTATGATGCTGGCTGTGGGTTTATCATATATAGCTTTTATTATGTTGAGGTATGATCCTTCTATTCCCACTTTGTTGAGAGTTTTCATCAAGAAAGGCTGTTGGATTTTGTCAAATGCTTTTAATGTATTAATTGATATGACTGTGATTTTTATCTCTCAATTTGTTTATAGGATGTATCACGTTTATTGATGTGCAGATATTGTATCATCCTTGCATCCCTGGGATAAATTCTACTTGGTCATGGTGTATGATCTTTCTGATGTACTTCTGGATCCGATTTGCTAGAATTTTGTTGAGGATTTTGACATCTATGTTCATGAGGAATATTGGCCTGTAATTCTCTTTCATTGTGTTGCCTTTATCTGGTTTTGGGATTAGAGTGATGCTGCTTCATAGAAAGAGCTTGGAAGTATTCCTTCCTCTTGAATTTTTAAAAATGGTCTGAGGAGGATATCGTTTAGTTCTTACTTGAATGTTGGTAAAACTCCCCTGTCAAGCAGTCTGGCCCCAGGCTTTTTTTTTGCTGGAAGCTTTCTGATGACTGCTTCAATTTCGTCCATAGTTATTGGCCTATTGAAGTGTTTAGATTGTATTTTTCTAGGAATATGTCCATTTCCTCCACATTGTCCAGTTTGTTGGAATAGAGTTGTTCATAGTATTTTTTTAACAATCCTTTGTATTTTGGTGGGATCTATTGTTATTTCTCCTCTTTCATTTCTGATTATTTGGGTGCAATCCCTTTGCTTCTTGATGAGACTGGCTAGAGGTTCATCAATCTTATTTACCTTTTCAAAGAACCAGCTCTTGGTTTTTTTTTTTTTTTGTGTGTGTATTTTTGTCGTCTCTATGTCGTTTATCTCCGCTCTGAACTTTATTATTTTCTTCTTTCTGCTTACACCGGGCTTTTCTTATTGCTCTTTTTCTAACTCTTTGAGTTGTAGGGTTAGATAATTTTTACCATTGTTTCTTGTTTTTTGCAGTAGGCTTGCAGAGCTATGAACTTCCCTCTCAAGACTGCTTTCGCTGTGTCCCATAGATTTTGGATTGTTTTGTTTTCATTTTGGTTTATTGCCATGATGTTTTTTTATTTCTTCTTTGATCTGTCTAGTAACCAAATCATTGTTTAATAGCATGCTGTTTAGTCTCCATGCGTTTGGGATTATTTTTATTGTAGTTGATTTCCAAATTTATGCCACTGTGATTTGAGAAGATGCTTAATATGATTTCTAACTTCTTGAATTTGAAGAGACTTTGCCTATGACCCAATATGTGGTCTATCTTTGAAAATGACCCATGTGCACTCGAGTAGAATGTACATTCTGTGGCTTTATGGTGAGATGTTATGAAGATGTCAATTCATTCCATCTGGGCTAGTGAGTCATTTAGCATTGATGTTTCTTTGCTGTTTTTTGTTTTGTTTAGAGGATTTGTCCAATGGTGATAATGGGGTATTAAAGTTTCATACTATGATTGTATTGCTGTTAATCGCTCCCTTGATATCCTCCAGGAGATTTGTGTGTGTGTGTGTGTGTGTGTGTGTGTTTATGTATTTGGGTGCTCCTCTATTGGGTGACTATATGTTTACCAGAGTTATTTCTTCTTCTTGGATTGCTCCCTTTAGTACTATGAAGTGGCCTTCCTTATCTCTTTTTGTGTTCTTCACTTTGAGATCTAATTTGTCAGAGATAAGTATTTCTACCCCAGCTTTTTTTTCATTTCCATTCGCCCGAAAGAGCTTTTTCCATCCCTTCACCCTCAGTCTGTGTGCATCTTTTTTTCTGAAGTGGGTTTCTTGTAGACAGCAGATATATGGGTCGTGCTTTCTTATCCAGTCCATGTCTTTTGATTGGTGCATTTAATCCATTTACATTTGAAGTTATTATTGATAGGTACTTATTTGTTGCCATTTTTATTCTTTACCCCTGTGTTCCTTCTTTGCTTCCTCTTTCTTCTTTTAACTGCAGACCCTTTAGCATTTCTTGTATTGCTGGTGTGGTGGTAATAAGCTCTCTTAGTCCTTTGTTGTCTGCAAAGCTCCTCAGTTCACCTTCAATTTTGATAGCCTTGCTGGGTACAGTATTCTTGGATTCAGACCCTTCCTTAGCATGACTTTGTATATTTCATTCCATTCCCTTCTGGCTTGATGTGATTCTGTTGAGAAATCAGTTGCTAGTCTGATGGGGGATCCTTTATATGTAACTTTCTCTCTCTCTCTGCTTTTAAGATTCTTACTTTGTCGTTGGTGTTTGCCGATTTAATTATAATGTGCCTTGGCATTGGTCTCTTGGGGTTAATTCTATTTGGGACTTGTGAGATTCTTTGATTTGTGTGGGTTTTTTCTTCCCTATTATCAGTGAAGTTTTATGTCATTATTTCTTCAAACACATTTTCTAGTCCTTGTTCACTTTCCTTTCCTTCTGGAATCCCTATAATGCGGATGTTGTTTTGTTTCGTTTTGTCCCAAAATTCCCGTAGGCTCTCCTCCTGCTTTTTAATTTTTTTTTTCCTCTAGAAGCTGCTCTACTTGGGGTAATTTTTCCTACATTGTCTTCTAGCTCACTGATGGGGTCCTCTGCTTCTTCTAGTCTACTCTTGATGCTTTCTATTGAGTTCTTTACAGCAGTGATGTCATTTTTCATTTCTCCTTGGTTCTTCTTCATTTCCTCTTGGTTCTTACACATATTGCCAAATTTGTCTTCCATTCTTTCAGCCACCTTATGACCATTGCTCTAAAGTCTTTCTGACAGGTTGCTTGCCTCCATTTTGTTTATTTTCTTTTCTGGTGATGTCTGCTTTTCTTTCATATGCGGGCTGTTTATCTCCCCATGGTCTCTCTTCTCCAGGTATCTGGTTATGTAATTCTCTCTCTCCTTAATCTAAAAAGCTTCCTTTTAACAAGTAACAAAGTCCTCTATTTGGCAGGGATGTGATGGTTCCGATCATGCAGTAATGGCCTCTCCCAGACTCAATTTGTCTCCCTCCATAATTTTTCTGTTGGAGCCTGCTCCCTTGTTTGAGTATTTGATGAGTGTCTCCAAGAAGAGTCCAAACTATTCTAAATGCATTTTAAAAATTAAGTGTTAAACTTACTCAAGGGGAAATCAAGACCAATCATAATATTCCCCCCAAAAGGTTTATTTATCATCAAATGTCAGGCGTCTAAATCTTCAATAACCAAGACAGGAAATTACAGTACCAAAACATAGGGCATGATTAGCTACTTATCATAGTTAAAAATAAGGCAAAGTAACACATCTTTGGATATTATCAGGTGCTTAAAGACTAGCAACAACCTAGGGTTCAATATCCTGAACACGGGTTTAAACCAATGTAAATTCTGAGAAAAAAATTTTAGGACTTTAAATATTTGACGTTTATGTTGTCAGAAATATTGATAGGAAAAAAAAATTTCTCAAATATATTACTATTTTAAAGTGTAAAGACAGAAAAATATACTTTATTTCACAAATAACAAAATAATTCATTTTTTAAGTCAAAGTGAAAACCTTAATCTCTGAGGAAAACTGTTAAAAACATAATTAATAAATTAAAACATAATTTAAAGCATACATTCTGGCTTACCCAAAGAGTCTTGGTTTAAATCTACTGCTCTGGAATAATTACTAAAGCATATACTTTCTCTCCAAATGGGAGTATAAATTATATGGCCACTCTACATATAGCCCACCATTAAGTCTTCCTTTAAGGTTAAGCTAATTTTCAGTTTCTGGATGCCTGAGATTGCTGGGTTTTGAAAAACCAATAATCAAGTGCTTTAGACAGATGAATATAATCATTGCTGGGCTTTCCCATCTACCAACAGGGAGGAAGAATAGTGAAATGGCATGGGACAACAAATAATTTAAGAGGTCTGATGTGGTGAGATGCACTATAGAGAATTGAAAATCCCTACTCCAGTGATTACCTTTCACTAATCTAGTAAAATGATATTAAATTCATTTAAGAAATTCAAGTTGATTTTATCCAGTTCCAGGTAATGACAACAAAGATACCTATTTTGCAATCACAGACAAAAAAAAAAAAAAAAAAAAAAAAAAAAATAGCCTTCCTTGATCTATTAGATAATTGTTAATTAGGGCAAATATGAATCTGCTAGGAAGTGTTTACTTTACTCAAAGCCTATAGTAATACTAACTCTTAAAATCAAGTGGGAAAAAGTATCTCCTTATTAATGTAATTTATTTATTTTTATCTAGGTTTAAAAGTATCCCTTTACCTAGCTAATTAGATGAAAGGTAATATCAATTAATTTCTTTCCTCTGTAATACAGAATAATTCACCTCAGAAGACAAGAATAGAAAAATTGCAGAGAAGTAATTACACTTTCGTAAAACAAAAAAGGGAAACACTTTCTTAGGCATGATTCTAGGTACAAATATGGGAGACAAGGAGTAAAATATTAAGGAATACTATTGCTAAAAAGAAAAAGGAATACTATTGCTTAGTGGTTGTCACAGAAGATTAAATGAAAACATTCAGGTGGCAATTTTATACTAGTGGTCTTCAATACATGTTAACTCAGGCAAATTACCAAAATCAAGATATTTATCATTCACTTTTTGGCAGACACCAAAATCTCTTCTGCTCTTATTACTTCAGAGGACAAATGGATGATATTCTCCAAAAGAATAAAACAGAACTAAACAAAGGGCACAAAAACATAAAGTGCTTTAGCACACTGAATTTTCTGATTATTTGGAAATTAAGCCAAAACAGTATTCTATTTCATACTTTAATTCATGGTAAAAGCAATCTTTCAAGGCTATCTAGTATAACAAACTTACTTCACAGCTAAGGAAGTAGAGTGACTTGTCCAAGGTAAAGCTACTGAGTAGTAGAAGTAGGCCTGGATCCCAATTTCAATGTCACTATCACCATAGAATACCTGTTTCATCACAGGTCTGTAAAATCAATTCCTTATCTTAAAGAAGCCACGTTTTCATTCTACCATTTCTTAGTAATCGGAGCCATTAGTCTTAGCTCTGGTTATATCCAAATATGACAATAAACTAGTCAAACCAGCTACTCTTTTACTTTAAACATCGTTTAAAATGTACTTGTGTTAGTACACTTCTAAATAACTGTGTTTTTGTTTACAAGTATTCCAGAGTGTTAAGAGCAAGTGTCCTAAGTATAAAAAGGGAGTCCAAATATAGGCTTGTTAGAGTTTAAAAGGCCTCAGGCTTAAGTTGGTGGCATATGGAGAGTCTCAAGCCTAAAAAGTCAGAAGTTAAAATCTGGCTTTAGCCATGCAAAGGAGACCCATGGAATACAGGTACTCCAAACATCCAGAGAATTGGTTTCTAATAGAGAAAACAGACTACACTGTCTTTTTTTTAATTTTATTATTAATCTGAGAAAATTCCAAAGAACTGCTGGGCACATGGACATTTATAGAAGCAATGCACTTAAGAGGGTCAAAGTTTTATATAAACATGCCTTCATGTGTCAGAAGATGTAGTCATAACTTTCTGAATAAAGCAAATTGTATTTACTTAGGCACATCTCATCCCAGTACCTGGTATGCAGATGATTGGTGTATACTTGAATAAAATATAAAGCAGCTAGAAAATACAATGACATCTCCAAAAATAAAGTGCTGAAATTTGGTCTCTGGGAGAGTCAAGTTAGTAAATACTACAAAAAAGAATAGTACTTTACACTTCTATAGTCCTTATTAAATCTTTAAAACCACTCAAAAAGGTAGGCAGAACTGTCAGGAATCTCTACTTTATAGCTTAGCTAAGTAGTAATAAATTTGAAACTCAAATCTAGTTTTACAACAACGAAAATATCATTTTCACTATTTCTCATGTGTTCCTTAACATGTCATATAACATAGCCATGATGTAATTTTGAGCATTATATATCACACAAAAACACAATTATACTCTCTCTCCTTCAGTGTCACAGGTCTCAAGTATGGTCTACTGAGCCCAGCCATGGTCGGTAAAACTGCTGCTCCCTTGGCATTATAAAGTTGGTGGTGTATTTCTGTTTAGTGGTCTTTGTTCATATCAGAGAATTTCTACTTGTATCAAAAGAAAAACCTGTCCAAGTTCTAGGTTTTCCTAGATTCCTATTACAGAAGTTTGAGTTTTGTTTGTTGTTTGTTTGCTTGGTACTTGTAAGCTTTTGTTTCTGTTTTTGACTAAGGAATTCCCTTCTGAAACAATATATAACAATAATTTTTGACTTCCACTTGCACATAGCTTAAGGTTGCACCTTCTTCCTTAGCTTCCTATTCATGCCCACATGATCATATTCTTCATGTTCACTCCTACTAATGGGCAAAAATGGGATAGAAGAGAAGTCAGTCAAGATTGGAGGAAACTATCTCTATTCCATTCTACTGTCTCTTTTATGAAGACTTCTACAGACTTAGTGGATTTAGCCAAACTACTAAAGAAAAAGTCAGAGCCTTAGCTGGGTTTGCTCAAGGGATAGTGCATCGGCCTTTGGACTTAGGGGTCCCAGATTCGATTCTCGTCAAGGGCACATGCCCAGACTACAGGCTCAATCTCCCAGTAGGGGGTATGCAGGAGGCAGTCGATCAATGATTTTCTCTCGCATCATTGATGATTGTATCTCTCCCTTTCCATTCCTTTCTGAAACCAATAAAAATATATTTTTAAAAGAAGATGAGAGTTATTTTATAAATATCTAAATTAAAATTAAATAACTAATTGAGACAGCAGAGGAGGATGTCAACAATATGGTCATTCCATTACTTTCATCATCACAAATAATGAATGCAAATTCTCCAACTGTTGATCAAGCTCAGAAGTATTTCAGGAGAATTTAAAAGAAAAAAAAAAGGAAAGAAAATGTATACTTTGGATTTATTTGAAAGTATAAGTTAAAAACAGAGGTAATATGCAACCATAAATAACTTGATTATTTGAAAAATCCAAGAAACCTAAAAGTTGATAGTAAGTATATTTAAAATTTTAAATACTATACATATTTTTGCTTATGTTAAGAAAAAACACATTTTAGGGTGTACCCATCATTATATTTAAGTGAAAGTATAGGTTACTAATACTAAATTACTGAAAACAAGATTCAATTAATAGTTACAAGCCATTTACATTCCGACTTGGTACTTACCTATACTAGAGGTATAATCAGTGGCTCCAAAGATCAACTCTGGTGCCCTATAGTACCGAGAACAGATATACGAAACATTGGGTTCTCCTCGGACCAGCTGCTTTGCACTAACAAAAATAAAAAGCAGAAAAATTTAAAACTAACTAAACCTTAAAACTGCTATCATGCACAAAATTAAATGTTTATATCTAAGGTTCATGTAATTCCAATCATGTCATACATGAAAAAGAAAATATGAACCATAATTATTTCAGACAAAAGAAACATAATTTTAGTAATATATTAATTTTAAAATAAGAATAATTTTTAAAGACTACATTTGTCAACTGTCACCTAAGGTAAAAGAGATAAAAAGTCACAGAAGGATAAATGCTTAATTTCATCTGATCCTCTGGTTCCCTAAATTCCACCTCTGAAATACAAAGAAAGAGTTGAAAAGTAAGAAGTACCCATCCCCACCAAAGCATAGCAACAGATTATCTATACTAATAATAAGAGAACTATGCAAATTATCCATTACAGCATCACATCATGACCAGATCTGCAGGCTGTGTCCCCACCCTCTGCTCAATGATTGATTTTTAACAATCCTCATCCAAGGATATGTTTATTGATTTGAGTGAGAGAGAGAGAGAGAAACATCAATCAGTTGCCCCCCACACATGCCCCAACCCATATTAAACCTAAAACCTAGGCATGTGCCCTGACCAGGAATAGAATCCACCACCTTTCGTGTATGGGGTGAGGCTCCAAATGAGTCACACTGGCCAAGGCTTGACCTTGCTTTTTAAATTTAGAATTTCTCAAAAATGATTCCTTTTCAATTTATAGAGCTACCACATGCCATTATTTATATGGTCATTTTCTTAATAACAGACACTGATAATGCTGTGAAAAAAATCCTAGTATATACACTGTTTTATATTTCTAAGGGAACAATTCCTAAGAATTAAATTGCTAGATGACTATATGCATTTATAATTCTGACAGAATTTACCAAACTATCTGAAGCTGCACTAGTTTATAGTCCCTGAATAAGCATTACAATATTTTTAGACTGATATTATAAAAGAGGGAAGGGAGAAGAAAATAGAGCTAACTTACCTTCCAAAGTCACAGAGTTTTAATACAGCTGTATCAGGGTCCAACAAGAGGTTCTGTGGTTTAATATCCCGATGGCAGATTCCAAAGGAATGAATATAGGCTAAACTTCGAAACAGCTGATACATATACAACTGGAAAAAATAGCAAAAATTAATTGAATAGTTTCTCTTCCAAACAATCAGAATCCTTAAGCGGTAAATAAAGTAACAGATAGGGGAAATGCTGGGGATTATAAGTACTCAATCTTCCTTTAACAAGTTTCATGTCATTTCTATGTTAATTAGTTAAAGTTTCATTAACCATATATTTATACCATCCTTTACTAACTTAAAAAAGAAAATTTTACAATGTGCCTTATAATATTTTAATTTACTAAGATTGCGAAACAAATCCAAGATGTCCATGGATTTGTCAAATGGATAAAAAGCTCAGAGAGAGATTTCAAATCATGTGACTAATAAGAAAGTTTAGACCAAAAGCCAAGTCTTCAGTTTTTAAGTTCATCATTCTTTTAAAGTATTTGCAGTTTCATATTCAGAATAATTTTTCTGAGATGTCAGTCCCAGAGGTTATTGATAAAGAGGCCTGGAAAAATTCACATGTGAACTGAGAAAATCTATAATCAATGGCCTATCAAGATATTAATGACCCCATTAATAGCATCACTATGCTTCCTATTAATATCATTCAAAAATGTCATTTAAAAACAGATTCTAGCTGACTAGTGACATAATTTAAAAGTATTTGTTCAAATTTTACTCAGAAAAAAGCACCAAGAAATTGGGTCTGCATGGAAGAAAGAATCAGACTCTTGACTGGGGAAGAAAGGGAGACTTTATAAAGAAAGAGAATACAGCTGACTCTTGAACAACATGGGTTTGTACTTCATGGGTCCTCTTATATGTGGATTTTTTTCAACAAATAATATTAAATAATTTAGGGGGGAGATTTCCTTACTACTGTGAAGCAATCATATCTATAACACGAGGCTACCATAAAGTTATATTGTTGTTTCTTAATTTTTAATGCATGAATTGTTATAACTATAAATAAACTGAACTTCTTTTTCACATTATCTTTTCAATATTTATGCTTAGTGTTAGTAATACATATAATATCTATAATGTTTTACAAGAAAATGATGATACAGGTACTAAAAGATGATTTATCAGATGATAAATCTTACATAAACAGGTGATGTAAACTTAAGAATATCAATAAATGCAGTGTAGTACTGTAAATATATTTTCATTTGATTTCCTTACTAACATTTTCTTTTCTCTAGATTATTTTAAGAATACAGTATATAATACATATATCATTCAAAATATGTTATTAATCAACTATTTATATTATCAGTAAAACTTCTGTTAATAATAGGCTGTTAAATTTTGGGGGAGTCAAAAGATAGAGGTGAATATTTGACTAGAAGTGGAAGTAGGGGAGGGTGTCAGCACCCTTATCCCTGCATTAAAGGATCAAGTGTATCTTAAACCTCCTGTTTATCCCAAGGTCCATGTTCTGGTTCACTAAATTTTTGTGACTCCTCACCTTGCAAAGACTTTTTGAAATGATTCAACCCAAAGATAACAGTAATTTGATAAAAAACAAATAAACCGATAACTAAAGTTCAGATAGAATATTGTCACAAGGCACCATATTTAGAGGCTACTGTTAAGACTTAGTTATTAATTCAAGTTAACATGAGACCTGCTTTCCTTCCAACAGGCCATGATGAAAACTGCAGACAGGTAATTTCAGTGCATCCTTAACATTATATTGAACTATAACTGGAAAAGTTTAATCCTTCTTTAAAATGAAGCATAATTTAAAATGCATAGATTTTCAATTAGGTCAACATTTTGCCACCAAAGTTAGAATTAAGGAATGTAGATACTTAATAACTTAAAAAAAAAAATCCTCACCAAGAACATGTTTCCCACTGATTTTTAGTGAGAGAAGAAGGGACAGGGAGGGAAGGAAGGAGGGGGAAACTGACAGACATTGATGTGAAAGAGAAACATCGATAGGTTGCCTCCCTTATGCACCCCAACCAGGGATTGGAGCTGCAACCTGGTATATGTCCTGAGAGGGAATTGAACTTGCAACCTTTCAATGCTCAGGATATTGCTCCAACCAACTGAGCAATACTAGCCAGGTCATTCATGTAACTTTTTAAAAGCTTCATAATTTTAATATTGTATCATTGTTCATAGCACCAATCTCCAAGTCCTAAGTTTACTCTTAGAGTTTTAAGAGTTTACTTCACTGCCACTTAAAAAAAAAAAAGTCCCATAAGAGTTCACAGACATTAATTTACTAAAGGAGAGACTTTATTAAAGACAGTGATGTGTAGGTTAGCAAGAATCAATGGGAAAAAATGTTTTCTTTGCTAAATTTGCTTAAGAGTTTGAATGCGGTTAAACTATCTTATAATATTCATTCCTCTGAAAGATCTATTCTATCTCCCACTCTCTTCATTTTGTCTTTTGAAAAGTCAATATAAAAAATGACTTTTTATATCTTTATTTGAGTCTGTAAAAGTATATTTATAGGGTAACTGAGAGGCTTACTAATAGAAAGCAATAACAAGATAAACAACTGGTCATTGTACTAAGAGCTTTACATGTATTCTTTTATTTAACCCTTATGTAATAGGTACAACTATTTTTCTATTTTACATATAAAGTAACTGAGACACATAGGTTAAAGTGATTTGTCCAGTATCACATACTTAATATTCTGCAGAGTCTTGGGTAAGTATGACTCTTTTAATAACTATTTCTTTATTTTTGCCTTATTCTTATCCTATTAACTAAAAGTGCAAGAACATAATTATTAAATTGCTTGGTCACGAAGTTAAAAAGACTAGGATGATAAACTCTTAGAAACTCAGATATCTAGTACATTTTGAAATTTGAGATTTATTTAACAAGTACTGTAAAACCAAGTGTTTCACCATTTATTTAATTATTATAATCATTCTGTGATATACACATTTGTCCTAAATTTTACAAGAGACGAATGAGGCCCAATTAGCAATCTGAACACAATCTGAAACAGTTGTAAAATTATCAAATCTAACTTCAAATCCTATGTCCTCTCTCCTCTGTGCTACTAAACCTGTTTAAAATTAATAGAATAACAATTTTATTCATGATTCACAAAAATATATCCAGCTCTTATGTACCCAGACCCTATCCTTAAACATGTATTTATTAATTTTAAACATTTCAAAATCAATGATTTGCCAGGTATCCATTTTAGAATTGTGTTTAAACATTCACTTAATTATGAAAGCTGTTAATCAAAAAAGCAAAGGTGCTCAAAAACTTAACATATATAGCTATCACCAACTATATATAAAGAGACCAGTACTATCAAACGGGTGAAGAAAGAGGTCTGAAGCAATAAAATCATCAAACATACTCAATTCCCCCAGAAAACATAAAAGTTAAAGAGTCACAAAAACTACAATTGCCATTTCAATAACATGTATGCTAAGTAAGTTCTTATTAAATGGTGAGGTCTATGGGCAAAAGTTACTTAAGTAAAAAACAATATGTCCATTAACAAGTGACCAGCTGAATAAATTAGGATATAGCCATGCAACAGACTAATATGTCCAACTGTAAAAAAGAAAGGCAAAATAGCTCGCTCTCTCTTTCTCTCTCTCTCTCCAGAATAATTTTTATTGTTTATTTATTTTTTACATTTTTAATTTAAAAAGCAAGGTTGAAGAATGTATACATTATATAACCATTTACATAAAATGGAGGTGGAGTGATAAAACAATTATATACATTTACTTAAAATTTTTGAATATTCAATTCTGGAAGTGGGGAGGTATAGGGTAGAGGAAACGGATAAAAGCTAAAATTAAATTGCATATATCTTGTTTTATAGATATTACTTTAGAACTATGTATTTTTATTTTGATGGTAAATTATCTTTAAAAAAGTTTAAAACAATCTATAATCCTAATAAAACAGTAATATGCAAATTGACCATCACTCCAATACACAATTGGCTTGCCCCCATGTTGACACAAGATGGCCAGAAGAGGAGGGCAGTTGAGGGCGACCAGGCCTGCAGGGGAGGACAGTTGGGGGCAACCAGAATTGCAGGGAAGGGCAGTTGGGAAGGGACCAGGCCTGCAGGGGAGGGCAGTTAGGGGCAACCAGCTTGGCAAGGGAGGGTAGTTAGGGATGACCGGACCAACAGGTCAGGCAGTCACGACCCACAGGTTGTGAACTGCTGGCAGCGTCGCCTAAGACCATCAGAAAAACACAGATATTTACATTACGATTCATTAACAGTAGCAAAATTACAGTTATGAAGTAGCAACGAAGATAATTTTATGGTTGGGGTCACCACAACATGAGCAACTGTATTAAAGGGTAGTGGCATTAGAAAGGTTCAGAACCACTGATCTAATGGAATGTATCATGGGAATAAAAAGAGCTGCAAAAAGATTTTCGATTATTTTCAGCTGGTATTGTAGTACTGGTATTGCTATCCTAAGACTATTATATGTATAGAATGGAACAGAACAAGTAATTAATTATACTGCATTAAAAAATGGAACTTTTAGTCTAAAGAAAAGGAAATAGAGATGGAGGATTGTTAAACCCCCTCAAAATTTAATTAAGAAGATAGCCCAGCTGGTGTGACTGAGTTACTGAGCATCTACCTATGGACCAGGAGGTCAGGGTTCGATTCCTGGACAGGGCACATGCCCAGGTTTCGGGCTCCATCCCCCGTAGGGGGCATGCAGGAGACAGCCAATCAATGTTCCTTTCTCTTCATTAATGTTTTTATCTCCCTCTCCTTTCTTCTCTGAAATCAATAAAAATATATAAATGTTTTTAAAAAAAAGAAATATTAATATGAATTCATAGTGTATTTATTGTTGGGATGAATAAAAAGATGCATTTTGCCTTTGAAAACAAACATTCACATATTTCCTAGCTCTGTCCACTAAAAAGACCTAAAAATAATAACCAACTCTTTGGTAAGTAGCATCCCCAATATCCAGACTGTGATCTCTGAATACTATCTCCCACTAAAAGAATAAGTTCCCCTTTAAGAAAAGGCTCATTCCAACTCTGCAGAAGAAATGTGTAATATGAACCTAGAGTACTAATAGAAAACAAGGAAGCTATCAAAGATTACTAAGACTTGTCTAAGAAGCTTTAAAATAAACACAACAACAACAAATAACTCCTTGGTCACCTTTGGGGGGTGCTATGGAACCAATAAATTATTATAAATTTTGATAAAGGAAAATAATCAAATATATATCCTGTCTTAAATAAACTGTACTTCAGGGTAATGAAATAACTGACATGGAAAGTTTCTACTTATGGAACTATTCTAGCTTATAAATTAAGAAGGAATAATAACATTAGAAAATTTTATGTCTATTAGTGAATTAATGGATTTAGGCAATTATCATCAATGGCTACAAGCATCACAAAAAGAAAGATATTATGTTCTTCCTTAGGAAAGCACCCAAAACTATATATGAAATAGTCTTGATTCCTACAAAAAAAAAATTATCTAATATCAAATTTACAGGAAATACAAAGAAGAGTACCGTATTTTCCAGCGTATAAGACGACCCTCCACTTCCGAGGCAACACCAGTTCTTTTTTTAATAGACCGCCTCTCTGACTCTGGCCAATCTGAGCAGGCTTTTTTTACCACAACACAGTGGTCTATTAAAAAAAGAACTGGTGTTGCCTCGGAAGAAGGAGGTCGTCTTATACAGCGAACATAGGCCTAAACCTATGTTTTAACTGTAAAATTAGGGGGTTGTCTTATACGCCTGAAAATACGGTAATATAGTACATTGTACTGTAGTAATCCAGACATAAAATCCAGACCAAAAAACTGAAGGGGGTGGGGAGGAGAGAGAGAGAGAAAGAAAATGAGAGGGAGAAGAGAGAGAATGAGGGGAGAGGGAAGAGGAGAGAGAGATTAAAACAACATTAAGCAGCACATACGCTGAGGTTTCAATAAATAAGTAAAATAAATTGATCTCTCTCTCAAATCAATTAAAAACAAAAAAACTGCAATATAGGGGCCTTACTTGGATCCCAATTCCAACAAATAAATTTTAAAAATATACATAAGATATATTGAAATATAAATAACTGGATATTTAATCACAATTATGCTGGATAAATTCCTAGCCACTCTGTCATGAGTTCTATAAAATAAAAAATATGACATTGATATTAGGTATCAAAAATAAAATAACACCTTGAAAGAATCTATGCATATTTAAAATTATTAAAAGTTGAAACTTCGACTACAGACACAATGTATAAGGAAGTGGCAATCAAACATTGAATTTGATCATACTCGTAACTATTTGAAAGTTTCGTGGCATGATTGCTCTTATTTCAGTCTGTGGTACAATAAGTATATCAGAAATTAAATAAATAGGTGCTATACCTAGCAAAATTAAGTACATAATTGTCTGTGAAAAATTCACTTGTCAGAGATTTGACAAGTAACTTTAATACCCGAGTCATTAAAGTTTAAAAAGTAAAGGCTTCACACTTTAAATCTGTATAAGAATTTAATGAAACTCTAGCAATACCTACTTTGCAGCTTCCCCCATTATTATTAGACGTGATAATGTAGTTATAAAACACATAGCCCTCTCCCTGACTCATTATAAGTACTTTTTTAAAATGCAAAATTGCTCCATTTTCACATACCTTGACATAGATCACAGGAAGCGTCTGTTTGGCTCGACTATAGTGTCTGGCAACTCTGTATACTGTTTCCGGAACATAGTCCAGCACCAGATTGAGATAGACCTCATCTTTCTAAAAAAGTTTATTAAAAACAAACAAAATAACAAGATTAGACACTAGTCTTTAAATATTCAAACTAGAATAAATATTTAATAAGAGTATATACTCACTTACTCACATTAAAAAATTAGAATATGATCAATTTTATTTATACAAAATTAAATCAGAATATAACCACAATAATAAAAGCCATCTACCACACTTTTTCAGTACTATTAAGATTCTTAATCATATTTAAGCTATTATTTAGGTTATATGACTTTAAAGGCTATCACCTACCACAAAATTTCACATTTTCTAATTGAAAAGCAATGCCCTAAGAGCCTATCAAGAAAGGTGTCATAGCAGTATAGCAAGTATTGAATTGGGAACTACAACAGTGTATTTCTAGCCCTAGCTCTGCTGCTAACTGATATGTGCAAGTTACTTAAATCTCAAGGCTTCAGTTTCTACAACTATAATACAAAAAGCTGGACTAGTTCTTCAAGATTTCCCTAACTTCTACAAAAAGATTCTATGGTTACCTGATAGTCTATATTATCTTCTACAATTAACTGAAAGAAAAAGAGTAACTTAAAAGGCAGCAATTGCCATACTCACAAGTTTATTATAGGTCACTAGTTTTAACATCCATTCTCAGTAGCATAAATGATCCAAGATCATTGGGGATAAAGAAGGGAATTCCAACTAAGTACCAAGTAGAAAAGAGGAATGGAGTGCTAATCTTATCCTGAACATATGAACGATATCAGATAAGTACACTGAAGCAGAAAACAAAGCTGAGAATCACTGTGCTCAAGTCTAGAATTGGCCACTGAGTGGGAAAATCTGCAGGTAAACAAACTTTCAGTCTTCCAAATTTGAAATCATCTTATGTACCAAACTGAAGTGAAGAATTTCAATTTTCAGCATTAATTACTTTCTATATGTCAGTGGCTATAGCAGAGGAAGTAAGGGTACAGATATAAAAGAGATGACATCTAAACTGGGTATGAGATGGCCATTTCAGGCAGAGAGAGAACTCATTTTCAAAGAGTACAACATAGCTCAGGAAACAGTTTAGTAAGGCAGCAAACCATTGACCTTACCACCTTTTCACTATCCTTTACTTTTTCATGTTCTCCTATCGTCCCTTTCACAGCCAGCTTAAATTCCTTAGTCTGTCACAGGGGTCAGTAAACAATAGCTGCCTGTTTTTATGAATAAAGTTTATAGGAACACTGGCTACTATTGAACTACAATAGCAGACTTAAGTCGTTGTGACAGAGACAACATAGCCTGCAAAATCATAAATATGGACTATATGGCCCTTTATGAAAAAGTTTGCAGAGTCTGCTGTAGTGTATACCCTCCTCTTATGCCATATTTGTTTGATAAACCACAACTTTGGTTAAATCCAGTTTTCCACACATTCCCTAACTATACCCAAAAGATGAACATGACTGCAAACCTAAAATTGTGCTAAGGAGTCCCTCATTAAATTCATCTTCAAGTAATTCAACCAGCTCAGGAATGATATATTTGCCTAATCTATTCACTTTTTTCTTTTTTTAAAAAAAATCTAAATTATTTATTGTTTTAAGTATTCTATAAGTCTCCCTTTTCCCCCATTGACCTCTCCCCGGCTGTTCCCACCCTCTAGCACAAGCCCCTGCTACCGTCTGTGTCCATTGGTTATGCTTATATGCATGCATACAAGTCCTTTGGTTGACCTCTTACCCCTTCACCCCCCACCTTCCCTTATAGGTTGGACAGTGTGTTCGATGTTTCTATGTCTCTGGGTCTATTTTTGTTCGTCAATTTATGTTATTCATTATATTTCAAAAATGAGTGAGATCATGTGATATTTATATTTCTCCGACTGGCTTATTTCGCTTAGCATAATACTCTCCAGTTCCATCCATGCTGGTACAAATGGTAAGAATTCCTTTTTTTTTTTTTTTTTTTTTTTTTTACAGTAGGGTAGTGTTCCATTGTGTAGATGTACCACAGTTTTTTAATCCACTTCTCTACTGTTGGCACTTAGGCTGTTTCCAAATCTTAGCTATTGTAAATTGTGCTGCTATGAACATATGGGTGCATATATCCTTTTTGATTGGTGTTTCTGTTTTCTTGGGACATATTCCTAGAAGTGGGATTACTGGGTCCAATGGAAGTTCCATTTTAAATGTTTTGAGGTAATATCATACTGTTTTCCACAATGGCTGCACCAATCTGTATTCTCATCAGCAGTGCAAGAGGGTTCCTTTTACTCCGAATCCTCAGCAGCACTTGTCCTGTGTTGATTTGTTGATGATAACCATTCTGACAAGTGTGAGATAGTTCCACATTGTCCACATTTGCATCTCTTGGATGATTAGTGACTTTGAGCATGCTGTCAATATCTTTTGAAAAGAGTCTATTTACTAGTGGGTACTTTGCCCATTTTTTCTTTGGATTGTTTAACTTCCTTTTGTTAAACTGTATGAGTTCCCTATAAATTTTGGAGATTAAACCCTTACCGGAAATAACTTTGGCAAATATGTTCTCCCATGCAGTGGGCTTTCTTGTTTTGTTGATGGTTTCTTTTGCTGTGCAGAAGCTATTTATTTTGATGTAGTCACATTTGTTTATTTTCCCTTTAGTTTCTATTTTTCTAGGAGCTATATCGGTAAAGATATTGCTACGATATATGTCTGATATTTTGCTGGCTAAAGAACCTTTTAAGATATTTATGGTTTCCCATCTTACATTTAAATCCTTTATCCATTTTGAGTTTATTGTTATGTATGGTGTAAATTGGTGGTCTTGTTTAATTTTTTTTGGCATGTAATGGACCAATTTTTCCAACACCATTTATTGAAGAGACTGTCTTGCTTTCATGTATGCTCTTGCCTCCTTTGTCAAATACTAATTGAGCATATGGTTCTGTGTTCTGCTGTTCTGTTCCATTGGTCTATATGTCTGTTCTTGTGCCAGTACCAGGCAGTTTTGAGAACTGTGGCTTTGTAATATAGTTTGATATCTGGTATTGTAATACCTCCAACTTTGTTCTTCATTCTCAGGATTGCTTAGCTATTCAGGGTCTTTTTTTTATTCCATATGAATTTTTGGAGAGTTTTGTTCTAGGTCTGTGAACTTTATGCCATTGGTATTAAATCAGTCCAGTAATGATACTACATTTGCCTAATATATTCAGTTTTTCAAACTACGTGATTTCTTCTTTTCAATCTCCAATATTTCTTCTCCCATTCTCACCTTTAGCTGATGATCTTGCTTGCACCACTGCCTATTTCCACCTACCAGCATCTATCTCCATATACACTTCCTTTCTTTCTCTAGAGATAAACTGATCAAGATTCTTCTTTCTAAGGCAAATCCTGATACTTGTTGGAGGAGGAGGAGGAGGAGGAGGAGGAAAAAGACGACGAAAAGACACTCTTTTGTTTTTCCTATTCAGTCATTACGTTAGTAATTTTTATGTCTTTCTCCATGAATTATTATTCTCCGTGGGAGCATTACAATCAGTACACAAAAACTGCTGTTATTTCTCCCATCATATATATATTTAAAAAAAAAAACACCTTTTATGTACTAATCACCACGATATTTTTAGGCCCCCTTTAAGAGCAAAATGCCTCAAAAGAGGTGCCTACACTTACTTTCTAGAAAACATACTCCTCTGAATTTCACCACAACTACTTCACCAGAATTGTTCATCAAGATCAATAACCTCTTTGTTGCTGAGTCCCATGTCTATATTAGTCATCTAATCTCTCCCTTCTATTTGGCTTTCATCATATTTCCTTCTTTGAAATACCTGCTTCACTTAGGTTCTAGAACACTATACTCTCCTGATTTCATCCTACCTTAAAAGACAACTCTTCTTGCTCTCCATTTCTGGTTCCTTCTATATTATTTATTTCATGAGGAATGGAAGATATGTGATCTCATCCAGTCAAATGGCTCAATACTGCAATACACTGATGATTCTCCAAGTTCATATAGATCCTGGCACTACTTTAGCTCCAGGCTAGCATATTCAACTATCTACTTTATATACTATCTACTTTATATTGCCTATGCTAAGAACCTTAGAATCATCATTAATTCCCCACTCCTCCCTCTCTCTCACACACACATCTACACACTCCCCATTCCCCATATATGTGTGTGTGTGTGTGTGTGTGTGTGTGTGTGTGTGTGTATGTGTACCAATGGTTCAACCTTTAAAGTTTATCTAGGATCCAACTACTTCTTAACATCTTCAATGCTAAACCCTGGTTTTATTATTAACACCTCTCACCTAAATAAATAAAAAGAACGCTAAAGTGGTGTCAAAGAGATTGTTGTGTTAAGTAGATTGCAAGAAATGGTGATGGGTTTTGGGAAGATCATTAACACAGATGTCAAAGCTATTCTTTTTTAACTACTTGATTAGAAGGTTTCTTGATTTTAACAAATCATTTGACAAAGTTAATCATGATATATTTATGAGTGGCCCAGAGGTGTGTAAGAATGTATTACAATTTAATTCATTTTCTAAACAATGATAACAAAAATGAAGAATAAAAAGATTAAAAAATGAATGCCCAAGGACAAGAAAGGTAGGGCCACAAACTCTGTCTTCACTTATCCCAATCAATATTTTCATAAATGATTTAATTTATTAGGAGTTGCAAAAGTAAATGCCTTCAATGGCTAAGTAATAAATGTAAATATGTGAAACCAAAATGTATAATGCAGTAAGGTACAATGGTTGGTTATTCATATAGTACAAGACTTAATTAAAAGCATTCTAATTTTTAAAAAATATTAACAGAATATGCTAACCAAATAAAACACATGAGAGGGGGAATTTGGCCATCAGTCTATAGTTTCTGACTTCAACACAACTACCTAAGATTGAGACAAACCTAGGAAAAATGCCTTAGGATGGAAGACCACGTAAGAAGTTTAAAGAACTCGCCGGGACCGGTTTGGCTCAGTGGATAGAGCGTCGGCCTGCGGTCTGAAAGGTCCTGGGTTCGATT